AAATCTCTAATAATAGAAATTTTATGATAACAAAGCAATAATATGAACAAAATAAATGATAAGTGAGAGAGATAGAAAGATACAATACTACATAATTTGGGATAATGCTAGGACATTATGATGCATTAAGGCCCCCCTAATCTATGGTACAAAAGCCTCTATGGGCTTTGCACATTTATTTTTTTTAGTTCCTTTTTTACATATGAGCAACCCTATTTATATGGTGAGAGATATATAATATAAAAAAAATAACAATTAACTGAAAATCTTCTTGTTAATAAGATTACAATCAATATCAAATCCTTGAAATTAATCAATTGATAAATTGATCAATCTTTATAATCACATAATATTCCTTCCTTCTATTTTATTAGAATCTATTATATTATGGTTTGATCCTCTTTACTCTTCCTCAAGTTGGAGCACGAAGACGTTAATAGAGTATCCAACTTGCTTGTAAATCGCTTACAGAGAGAACTCTAGAAGATGGTCAAATGGTCTCCTTTGGTCTCTTTTGCTCCTACAAGAAAGTAGAAGTTTTTTTTTTTTTTTGGAAAATGGCCTTTCTTTTTTATGTCTCTCTCTTCTTTTTTTTTTTATGTCTCTCTTTTTTTGTAATTTTTTTTCAAATCTAAATAAAAATTTTCAAAAAATAAGGATATGACTTAAATAAAATGAACTTATGTAAATTTAATTAATTAGGAATTGAGGCTGTTAAACATTTCCTCATTTATTAAGTCAAATAAAAAAAACTTTAATTCTCTATTTAAACAACTTTGAATTCAAAGTTTTAATTTGTATCCTTTTATTTTCTATTTTAATATTCTATATAATAATTTAAAGTTTTTAATGGTATCAAGGTACCTTTTTACTTTTCATATTTAAATTTATAATAATTTTTCGTGTTAAATCAATTAAAATTAGACTTTATTTTCTAAAAGAAATATTACAATATTTTTTTTATAATATTAGTATTTATCAACATGATCTTCAAAAAATTAAGAGGAAAACACTTCAAAACTATGTTATTTCAATAATATAAAAATACACTCATTCCTACTTTAAGAAAATATTGTTTATTTTTTTAAATGCAAGTTTATTGAAACAATATAATTTTTTTATATTTTTCTTTCTAATTTTTAGAGATTCAGTTAACAAACCCATTTGTCTTGCTTTATTCATTTTTCAATTGATCTTTTCATGATTTTATTACTATGATATTTTGTTTTTTATTACAATAAATACATTTATTTCTATTTTTGTTAAGAATATATCAATAAAAAAGACTACAAATGAATCTTTTTATATATAAAAAAAAATTTTAAAAATAAATTAGTATCATAAAAAATATTCTTAAAGACTAAAATCTTCAACACTAAGTTTCGCCCCCTAACTAAATTTACTAGCTCCATTCTTGGTAGAAGGGTATTTTTATCATTAAAAAAAAAATTAAAAGAATATATTTTTATTGTCATTCATTAACATATGTCCAATTGAATTAAAAATAATGCATCACATAAAAAATAAGACTCACATGTGCCAAATTATCAAGATAGAAGGTTTTGAAATGGATTTTACAAAAAATGTGGCATGGCATGATATCATTTATTAAATTTAGGTTAATTTATTTTAATAGGAAATTACATAAATTAATTTATTTTAACATAAAAATAAATGAGTTGAAAATTAGGGGAAAAAAAAAAAGGTAGAGGGGTGGATTTCAAGTATCTCAAAAAGCACATGAATTGATTTATTTCATGACAAAACATATTTAAAATAGATTTTATGGAAATGTGACGTGGCATGATATCATCTGTTACCTTTGGATTAATTTATTTCAATATTAATGTCCAAGAGTTAAAATTTTCAAAAAAAATTTAGGGATGGATTTCAAATAGTTCGAAAAGTATATGAACTAATATATTCTTTTCCCCTTTACAAATATAGATAGCACATTCTTTGAACTGATACTACGGGTTGGTTTTTGAATGTTATAGCATTAGAAGAAATCTTACATCTTGACTTCCTTTGAAAGGAGGGGAATGAAACGAGTATCTAAAATTTGGGTTCTACCCAACCACATAATAGCTGTTCTCTTGTGACAGAAAGGTCTTTTAAAACATGTTCAGAACCTTGACAATGGAACTTTCTTGAATCAAGTGAGTAGTAGACAGCGCTCTGGCCATGGTAATGTGGGAAATAAACTCTATTCTCCATTCCTGGTGTTGCACACGTTGAGAAGGACGATAGATGGCTTACATACAGTGTATGATTTCCTAGATTTTCCACTTCAACCCAAGCCATCTCTGAGTCATCCAGACTGAAAATTCGAACCCACTTTCCAAAGGAGGCCACAAAAATTGATAGAAGCTTCCCATCACAATTTAAGAGGTAGTTTTGGTGAAAGGAGTCAGTAGGACATTCGGGTTTGTCAAGAGATTCCCAGCAAAACTCTTCCTTCATTCTAACAGCTACTAGCTTTCCAGCCGTACCAAGAAAGTAGAAATCTCCATTATAGAATGCCATATTTCTGTCAAAATCCATTTCTAATTCTGATTCTTGCCTGTCAAATAAGTAGAAACTTCTCCATTCCTCATCTTTTAAACTGATAAAGTCAATATAGCATTCCGTGACAAGATCACTGAGCAAAGCAATAACACAATCAGAAGAGTCCGGAGAAGTTGAGAATCCACATCCAGATACTATACTACGGTCATGGGGAATATTTGGAAGTGGAATGGTTTTCTGGGCAAAGGGGTTCCAAAGGAATATGGACTGTTCTTCTTGTAACATCACACACCAACCTTCTCCTGAATAATACAGTTCAACATATTCAAATTGGTTTTTAGGAATATTCATGAAGTATTTTTCACTACGTATTGGATCAAAGAAATTGCCAGTACTATCACCATTTTCCCAAAAGGTGAGCCAAGGTGAAAGAGAAACCTCCAAGGACTGAATTGGAGGGGCTGCCAATTGGCACATTCTGTTGGCAGCCCTAAAACTCATGTAGCCTTGTCAACAATCTACTAAAAGCCATCTTGCAATTGCAGATAGCAAGTCTAATGAAAGCTTACAAAATTGATCTCCTGCACCGTCTTCCTCCTGATCATTTACGGTATCATTCACAATTTCACCAATTTCAGGCTTTATCTCCTTGCTCCCATCATTTAAGTTATCCTTGATATGTCTATCCACATAATTGCTCACCCTACAGGTATCATGAGAAAACAATAAACAACATTAATATAAAACTCAGCAATGAAGGGGAAAGATTTCAATAAGGTATTAGTAAACAAAATACAACAAACTGGAGGCTTAAGAACCCTGATTTTTACCTGTTGTCTGGGTCTGGCATGATGTAGAAAGCAGTATCCTGGTACAATGATTCTCGTAAATTCGAATATGGTGAAGAAACGGAAGTAGTTTTGTCTTCCATGTTGAAGGAGTATCTGCTTTCATAATATACATGATTGCCTTCAACTTCCCCAACTGCAGGGTAAGAAAATGTATAACCTATCCTCCTCTTACTGACAAAAAAGGCTCGGTCTTTGAAACTTTCTATGCACCATTCCTTTTGGGACAAGTCCAGTTTAAAAACTCCCACAGCAGTTAAATGTTCCCAACTTCTGCCTATTGCTTTGTGCGCCAAATTAATTGCAAAGATTTCGCCCAACGATTCCACCAAGACTGTTCTAGGCCAACAAATATGTAACCGAGGAATAACACAGTGGATATACTTAGGGCTAAATGGTCTGGCATGATATCGAAAGCAACTAGTTCACGGCAACATGTGGCGATCAAGATTAACCTCCCATTGCAGATAACAGAATCCATGACATCGATATAAAATTTTCTGAAATAATCATCAATCTGCTGCTTCTTCCATTTTTCATCATCTCCAATCCTACAAAAGATGAATGAAGGAGTTTTTGTTTCAAATAATATAAGCATACTGTCCCGAGAACCAGGTGGGGACGACAAGATACAGTTGAGGATTTTTTGGTGGGGCTTCAACGAGAGAGGCGGTAAGTGTATGGAGACATCAGTCATAGGATTCCAAAGCGAGTACCGATGCTTTCTCATCCGAGAAGATGGGCCAACCATCACAGCAAGCTCTTTTGATTTGTTTATGCTGGAGCTTATGAGGAATGGTTATAGATTTAGGTTCTTGGGTAGGGGAAGGTCAGTGTAAAGTCAATTTCTTACCACGGTGCAATGCGAACAACGGGAAAGGCGGTAAACCTGCTTCTTCCTCCATGTTGAAAGTGCGAGCGAGGAATGTTGTAAGTCGATACTTGCTTGATCTGTGGTTAATATATATAGACTTAATTATTAGTCCAAACCCCAACAGGATTAGAATTCTTCTTTCCAAAAGACATCTTCTTTATCTAATAGGATTCTTCTTGCTTGAAGAAGAGAAGGAATTGTAAAGAACCCATGTCGTTGGTTCCTTTGCCAGCGTCGAAGGTGAAGGATTTAAGGTCTCCAATACCCTCAGAATCTCCCAAAACTTTTTTGCTGGAAACGTTGAGAATCATACTGCGCCGCTAATCGACTCAAATTGGATAACAAACAGCCGGCCTGCCCCAACAGTCACCGGATTAATATCTCCAGTGAGGCCACGATTCCCATCCCAATCGCATCTAGGTCGTAATTCTTCATAATCACCCGAGTCAGGTTTGGATTCTGAAGTCCAATGGGCTCCTGAGGCACGTTATGAAACCAGAAATCCATAATGATTTGGGTAAGGTAAGAAACCAGACAACTTTCCCATGATCGGACGCTGTCCTTACCCACCTTGACTTCAGATTGCAAAATCAAAACCTAAAATAAAAGTTCTTCCTAAAGAAATGAGTGGAAATTGGGCCTGATGAGGTTGCTTTTGGGCTTTTTTTTTTTTAAATTATTATTAGTTGTTAACTTTAACTAAATATATTAAATATTTTAAATTAGTAAATAATAATTACTAATTATTAAATATGAATTATTAACTATTAATTGTATTAAAAAAAGTTAATCTAAATAGTCCATTAGTCTAGGAATGTTATACAGTAGTTGTAGTGGTAGGTTTTTTAATTTTTTTAATAATTTAATTAATCAATAATTAAATTCTAATGTATTTTGTTAACTTAATATATATAGAAAAAAGTGTATATTAGTTTCGATTCCAAAAAATAATTAGAGTTTTAACTTTAAATTATTTTATTTTATTTAATTAAAACTCATTTTAAAATTTAAAAAATTATCTTATTAAAAGTTAATATTTAAATGTAAAAATTGATTATATTAAAATACATAAGGAGTTTCTAAATCTAAATATTAACATTTAATAGAATGAAATTTTTGTTTCCAGATATAAGTTGGGACTATAATTGTTTTTAAAAATTGAGACTGATAAGCATTAATTTCATATATATGTGTAATTTATCTATCTTATACCCTAAAAGATGCAATAAATGTATTTTTTTGTAATTAATTCACATTAAAAATTATAATAGTTGACATATATTTTAATATCACTAATAAGTGGATGATTTTAATTAATTAATTAGTTAAATTAAAATCAACATTTATGTTTTTAATAAAAATTAATTATAAAAAGATATATTTATTACATTGTTATTTTATGTATTTATGGCACATGATAGAAAAATCCATATATATTGTGCACTTTTATGACTAATGAAATATCTTGAATAGTTAAAAATTTAAGATTTTAAATTTAAACTTTAAGATAGATGAAAAGGAATTAATGAAATAAGATAATTATATTGTATTACATAATCTATTATCCAATATATTGAAAAAATATATCATGCATTTTTATCAAATAAAATAAGTTATTTCATAATTCTTACTATAAAACAAAAACTATGTATTAAATAAAAACGATAAGTTTTAATATTAAGATAGCTAACTCTTGACTAATAATTTAAATTGCCCAGTATCCAACATTTCCTCTTTTGCACATATTAGTCACCAAAAGAGGTTAAACCCAGCTTGAGCATGGTAACCAAAAACGAACGAGAAATTACTGCCGTTAGATCCCGGAGCGCGCCACGTCGTCACCCAGGCGCGTTGAAAAACAAAGCAACTTTAAGGATCTTGACCAAAGACCACCTCCACGTTCAAATATTAAACGACCAAAAAAACCATTTAAATATCACACAGATTTTAGAACGTTAGCTCCAGATCGATTGCCGCACTCTTTTAAATCCCCCCAACTCCATCCCTCCCAAAAAACTACACTAAGTTCTTCAACAATGTCATCACAATCTGTTCCAACTCCTCAATCTCCAAGGATGATCACTAGAACCATGTCGGGTGCTATTCTTAGGAAGGAAAAACCTTGGCAGCAAGTTTATGACCCTGATACTTATGCACTTCTGGTGGAAAAACCTACTTGCTATTATGAGTCATATGGAAAACAGGAATGGGAAAATTCCATGAAGGAGGAGATAAATTCCATTGAGAAGAACAACACTTGGGGAGCTTGCAAATAAACTAGAAAGGAAGACTCCAATTGGTGTGAAGTGGGTCTACCAAGTGAAGTATAAACCACATGAGAGTGTACAAAAATACAAGTCAAGACTTGTGGCCAAAGGTTATGCATAGAAACATGGTATTGATTGCTTTGAAACCTCTTCTCCTGTTGCTATATTTGAGACTATTAGATTGATGATAGCATCAGCAACTCAAATGAAATGAAAGATTTTTCAATTTGATGTTAAATCTGCTTTCTTGAATGGTTGGTTGGAAGAAGATGTCTATGTTGAGCAGCCTGAAGGATTCATTGTTCGAGGCAAAGAAGAAAAGGTGTACTAGCTCAAGAAAGCTCTTTATGGACTCAAGCAAGCCCCGCGAGCTTGGTATGGTACACTTGATTCATACTTGCATGATAATGACTTTCATCATAGTGAAAATGAGCCCACTTTGTATGTGAAGGTGAAAGGAGGTGATATTCTCATTATTTGTGTTTATGTGGATGACATTATTTACGCTAGTTCTTTTAACGTTTTTATTGAAGAATTTAAGAAGAATATGCATGCTAAATTCGACATGATTGATTTGGGGCTGTTGCATTGTTTTCTTAGGTTACAAATTTACCAAACAGATTATTATGGTATTTTTGTTTCACAAGGTAAATACACATTGGATTTGCTGAAAAATTCAACATGCAAAATTGCAAGATGTTTGCTACTCTTATGAATACAAATGAGAAGTTGACAATAGATGATGGAACTCCAAGAGCTAATGAGAAGTATTTTAGAAACATGGTTAGCAGATTAATGTATCTAACTCACACTAGACTTGATATCATGTTTTCAGTTAGCTTGGTTTCAAGGTTCATGCATAATCCCTTTATGCATCATCTTGGAATAATAAAACGAATTCTTCATTACATCCAAGCAACAAGCAACTTTGGAATTTGGTACAAGTCAGTGCCTAACTTTAAATTGCTTGGTTTTACTAACAGTGATTAGGCAGGTTCTATAGATGACAGAAAAAGCACAAGCGGATACATATTTAATCTTGACTTGGGTGCTATGTCTTGGAGTTCAAAAAAACAAGAATGTATAGCATTATCTTCTTTTGAAGCAAAGTATGTTGTTGCTACATCAGCTGCTTGTCATGCAACCTAGATGCAGATGATTATGAAAGGTTTGTAGCAAGTTCCAGAGATGGTGACAAAGATCTTCTGTGACAACAAAGCAACAATTTCGATGACCAAGAATCCAGTGTTTCCTGGAAGAACAAAACAAATTGAGCTACGTTATCACTTGATCCGAGGTGTTATTGCAGATGGATTAATTGCTTTGGAGTATTGTTCAACAAGTGATCAAGTTGCTGATAGATTTACTAAAGGACTCAATTTTAGTAAATCCACGAAGTTCCATAACTCACTTGGAGTTGCAAAGTTTGCATAACCGGGGGATGTTGAAAACTGATGCAAAAAGTGGATATTATCTTTATTTAGTTTGAATAAATCTTTCTAATTTTTCTTCAGAAAGTAGGGTAGTTGCTATTTTTTAGGATTTTTCTGTTGAGTCAATTTAGTCCATGATTTCAATCAGAGTACATAATGTAGGTATCATATTACAATCCCACTACTTAGATTTCCATTATATATTTTTATGTTTTTTCAATGAATTTAGGCATTCATAAAGTTTTTCACTCTTCAATCACTTTGTTATCTACTTCTACTTTTCAAGTTTAATTATCCTTGCTCCATTTTCTGTT